AGAGCTGCCAAAAATTTTGACTGAAAGGAGATTAACAAAGGCACTCAATGCAAATATATGCGCTGATAAACTACGACAAATATCACACAGAGAATAACCATACCATAACCAGCACTCTCCCAGAACTACAAAGCCAGGATTAGGCTAATATTGGAACCGACTCAGCATTTTTGAGCTATCAAAGCACAGGTACTAGAGGTTTTATTTTGTTCATTGCTTTTCTCCCCTTCTTTTAGCTGTAGGCCACTTCCTCTGGTACCTCCCATGATCATGCTGTATATAAACCCAGCACAAAACTCAGTTTTATTTTCAGGCTTTACCTCTTTATTGCTTAAAAATGTATTGAGAATTCTTATGATAAAATGCTTTTTGAAGAAAATATTTTACTAATTTTAAGTGACCATATCCTATTAACTGAAAATCAAGATCCCGTCCGTATCTGCTTTCTGTGGGTATTCCGAGGGTAATGGGCGCCAACAGCAACTATCCGCTGGCAAGGCTTTCGATCACTCCCTCTTGCGAGGGCTGCTTAGAAGCAAGCTAGTGGCGGGTTCGACAACTCGGCTTGTGCAGCACCATATTACCACTGAAACGAATGAACGAATCGCAGAAGGATTGGTTGTTCTACTTGTGAAATTGAACATCCTACCATTTGTAGAGCAACAAAAATGCTTTTCGAACTGCACCACAGCCATCAGTTTACTTCATTAATTGCTGAAAAAGACACTTGCACCTTCACTACTACCTCGTCTCCTTCAAGCAGAAATATAGTGTGTGTGTGTGTGTGTATATGCGTGTACTTCCATTCCTGACTAATTTTCTGGAAAAATGTATCTTAAAACAATCAAAATTCTTTGTCAAGACGAAGTCAAGGAACCATGCGAACTACATGGATGTCCGACTGAAGTAAGAGGATGTCATTTATAGTCGTAATTGAAATATTACAGACCACTGAATGTAAGTGTATTTCAAAGTCACCTCAAAAAATTGCTATTTGTGCAACCGACTCGCAAGAAATGTTCCCATTTTTCAAGTACGTTTGTTTCTCCATCGTTTGTTCGAACTACTGAAAATTAATCAGCTTAATCCTAGTCAAGAGGTAAATGTGGCTACAAGTCAAGTGAAACTGCACCAGGCACCTTTTCCCCTAACTCCTTTCCACGCAGGTCATGTACCTTATCATTCTTGGGATTCCCAAAGAAGATATATTCTTATCGCTAACAATTTTGACAGATATGCGATGCCTTCTACACACTAGCAAAACGAGCTGACCGAATAATTTCGTCTTTTCTCCCGGTCCAAAGAGATTTATGCTCTCATTTGATGGGGTGCATAGCTAGCGATAAAGCCGTGAAAAAACGTTTCAAGCAGTTTCGCTCCATTGCTGCCCTCGCGGGAAAAGTGTTACTCTAATCAACGAATACACTTAGCACGTGCATAACACTGCCTCCAGTATGACAGTGCTGAGAAGGTGGAAGCAGAAGTCCCGGTCGGAAACTTCAAAGACATCAAAACACTATAGAATTTGCACCAACATGCAGCCATTTTGCGCTTAAGCAGTATTTTAAGGGAAGAATTGGAGAACGATTTGAAGTGGGTGCTACTGCCCTATAATACGATGGTCTTCGGTCTCGGAAGAACAGACACTGATGTTGAAAAGGCATTCAATGTGACGGACATGGAAGTAGGCATCGGGCTCACCGTCATTGGTTTCTCCTAGGAAAGTCCGCAGAAGCAGCAGCATTTGGGATAAAGCACCGATGTTCCTGAGAGTAAACATATGTAACGTATTTTGTTGTAAAATAATAGCAAATTGTAATGATTATGCCAATAATTACTCAAAATTGTAGAACTGTAGTTGTAGATGAATTGTTTGAAAAGGAATAAAGATGAAACTAAAACTGTGACTGAACTGTTTAAAAAAAGTATAAAAAGGTGACAATGATAAAAAAGTAAACAATCCGTTACGATGATGAGTCGATAGAGAAGAGAATAACAACTAGCTTAATAATAAAAGAAGACAGGGAGACGAGGTGGAAGGAAGGAGGGAGGAAAAAGTTTGTAATTCTCAGTTCAGTTATTTGGACATTTAATTACTCTGTCCCCAAAGTATAATAATTGGCCAGCGCACTGACTGCCGGTG